GATAGTTTCCTCTATCCTCTCCTGCTGATATTGCTTAACAAGTAGACATGTAGCCACAGCTACACAAATACTTCACTGTAAAGGATGTTTCAGCATCATGGTGTAGTGGGCAGGCATTGCCATGGTAAGCATGGCGTATGCTGTCCTGGCATTTCCACTCTGGGAACTTTTCGGTATGTTTACTACACTTTCAGATGAGCTCTAGGGAAAGATAAAAATCACATTCACTCGTTTTATGGCTGCTTGGAAAATGCTCCAAACCAAATGCCAGAAGTTATTCGATGCATCCCGAGGAATAAAAATTTTCTTATATTGTCTAAATGGTTTCTTAAATCACTGATAAAGATGAACAGATTTACCTTGTAAAGGAGCAGGTTCTTCTTCTTTCCTCCTCCCCTTCCCCCCTTCCCCCTCTCTGTCCCCCTTCTCCTCTTCCTCTTCTTTTCTTTTGATGAAGGAGTGCCACTTGGGATGTAGAGCCTGATGATAAAATCTCATTGGCTAAAGCACTCGGCTACCATCATTCATGGGGTAGCTGCATATCTAATTGTTTCCCTTTCCATTATAACCGGTAAATGCAGCCACTGCTTTTGAGGGTATTGTACCTAAACCATTTTGGATTTATAACTATACGAATACTGGTTCCTTAACTTTCTGACAGTGACCGGCATTTGGTGGTTCCTAGGATGTTCTCAGCACCAGCTGAGACAGTATGTTATGTTCCATTGTATTTTGAAGGATGCGGGTGCATTTCAGTTTGGATGACATTTCAAAGTTAATCATCTCTCAAATTGTGAAACTCAAAAGTTGCATTGAAATTCCACAGGATAGCAGACTGGTTCAAACTGGACTTACTATATGGATTTAAAGTATGTGAAATATGTTGTATACACTCAATGGAATATTAGTCATCTTTAAAAGGAATGATGAGGGCTGGGAAGGTGGATCAGTGGTAGAGTGCTTGCCTTGCATACATGAGGCCCTGGGTTCCATTTCTCAGCACCACATATGCAGAATAAGCCAGAAGTGGCGTTGTGGCTCAAGTGGTAGATTGCTAGCCTTGAGCTGAAGAGCAGAGGGTAGCGCCCAGGTTCAGAGTTCAGGCCCCACGACCACCAAAAAAAAAAAAAAAAAGAAAAGAAAAAAAGAAAAAAGGAATGATGATATTTAGATGCTGCAAAATTGTATTACATGTATAGATTTATGCGACAGTCAGCAAAATTAGGTTCTATTTTTTCCCCTAAACACACCTATCACACTTCATAGTCACTATACAGCAACTCAGAAACTACTGAATACCATGGAAGTGGAAACTTCTAGTTTGCAACCTTTCGAGTGACATTCATGTAAGTTGTGTCAATGGTTCATTGCTTTAATAATAAGTAGTATTGCATGACACAATGTCCCACAGTATTGTTTATCCATTCAACTGGTATAGGGTATTTGGGCAGTTTCCAGTTAATGGCTGTACGTTTTTCTGTGTAAATATAAATTTTCATTACTCTAGGGTAAATATATAGGACCAGGATGGCTGGATAATCATTCAGGTGTGTTTACCTTTTTTTTTTTCTTGGATCCCGTCGTGGGACCTGAACTCTGGGCCTGGGCGCTGTCCCACAGCTCTTCAGCTCAAGGCTAGTGCTCTACCACTTGAGTCACAGCACCACTTCTGGCTTTTTTCTTTTTTGCTTATGTGGTGCTGAGGAATCGAACCCAGGGCCTCATGCATGCAAGGCAAGCGCTTTACCATGAGCCACCTTCCCAGCCTTACCTTTTTTTTTTTTTAAACAAGGATTATCAAGTTGTTTTCCACAGTGGAGGAAGTATTTTGCATTCCCATCAGCAAGGGCTGGAAGTTTGAAAGTTCAGTTATTCTTTTTTTTTTTGGGGTCCCGTCATGGGGCCTGAACTCTGGGCCTGGGCACTGTCCCTCAGCTCTTCAGCTCAAGGCTAGTGCTCTACCACTTGAGCCACAGCACCACTTCCGGCTTCTTTTTGTGTGTGTGGTGCTGAGGAATCGAACCCAGGGCCTCAGGCATGCAAGGCAAGCGCTCTATCACTGAGCCACCTTCCCAGCCCAAAGTTCAGTTATTCTATATCCTGCCATATTCAACTTGTTCATATCTAAAAAGCTCCTGGCAGGATTCCCATTGACAAATGGATGTGTTTATTGGGTTTCTCAGTCAATTGGCAAGCTATATCTCTGGGTTTTTTTTCATAGTATTTCTTAGTTTTCAGTATAAACATCCTGCATAGTTTGCTACAATTATACACAAATATTGCATTTTGGAGGAGCTACTGAAAATACAATTTTAATTTCAGCTTCTAATAGAGCCTGTCAGGAAATAAAACAAGTTGAGCTTGTCTGTGTTTTGTATTCTATACAACGCTAAATTCATTAAATTCACAATGCTAAAACCTCCTTGGAATTTTCTATGTAGACAGATGTAGAAAATTTCCTTCTATCTCCAGATATTTTTTATTACTTTGCTGGTCCTGGAGTTTGAACTCAGGGTGTAGATGCACTTTTTTGTGCAAGGCTAGTGTGCTACCACTTGAGCCATAGCTCCATTTCCCTATTTTTGATGGTTAATCAGGTGTTACAGACTTTCCTCCCTGGGCTGGCTTTGAACTGTGATCCAGGTCTCAGCCTCCTGAATAGCTAGGATTACAGCTATTAAAAAAAATTCTTTTTTCAAGTCTTGGGGCTTGAATTCTGGGCCTGAGCGCTGTCCCTCAGCTCTTCAGCTCAAGGCTAGCATTCTACCACTTAAGCCACAGTGCCACTTCTGGTTTCCTGGTGGCTAATTGGACTTAAGAGTCTCAAGGACTTTCCTGCTTGGGCTGGCTTTGAACTATGGTTCTCAGGTCTCAGACTTCTGAGTAGCTAGGATTATAGGTGGGAGCCATTGGTGCCCAGCTTTACAGCCATGTTATTTAAAAAAAAATATTTCTGGTCTTATTTGGTTGAAGTTTTCAATATTTTTAATATTGCAGTGAAGGAAGACACCTAGTCCTACATTGCCTCAAATATGATGTTAACTATAGTTTATGGGCATTTTTTTCCCCAATTACAAATGATTAACTTAAAATTGTTTTTTGAAACAAGTCTGATTGCATTGCCTAGGCTGGCATGGAACTCTGTGTTGCCTAGAAAGTTTCAATCTTCCTGCATTAGTCTCCCAAGTGCTGGGATTACAAGCATGTACCACAACATCAGTTAACTTTGTATGTGTGTGTGTGCTGGGACTGGGGTTACTGGGGCTTGAATTTAGGCACTCTGCTCTTCTTTTTGCTCATGGTTGACACTCTACCACTCGAGCCACACCTCTATGTCTTTTTTCTCCCAGGTTAATTGAGATGAGTCTATTGGATTTTTCTGTCCTGGCTGGTTTGGAACTTCAGATCTCAGCCTCCTAAGTAGCTAGAACTATAGGCTTGAGCCTTTAGCACACTCCTAAATGTGCAACTTTTATTAAATTCTTTTTATTCTTTCCTTTTTCTTTTTCCTCCTCCTCCTTCTCCTCCTCCTCCCTCTAATAGGGCCAGAAATCAGGGTCTTGCACTATTATCTCTTATTTGTGCCTTTTCTGACTAGTTGCCCTCCAACATCAGCCTTTCGTCTACATTCTCCAGCTGCTGTGGTCCCTCTCATTTCCATTCTACACACAGCCATGGGAACTAGCTGCTTAAATCATCTACATACTCACCAACAGGAGCGAAAACTGGTTACTATTGATTTGTGTGCATTCAGAATCTCTGAATGGAGAAGGGTAGTCTCTGATGCTCCCCAAACTCCTAGAGGAACACTACTTTCAGCTATTGCGAGAACATATTTACCCTACAGTGATTCAACAGTGGCACTACAGTTGGGCCCATGGGTTTCTGGAGCACCGTAAACATTCAACCAAAGGAAATGCTTATATCTCATCACTGAAGGCTCCCCTAATCAAGTAGTTGTTTCAGTGCTAGGGACTGAACTCAGGGCCTCACACTTGCTAGCAAGCACTCTACTAATCAAGTAATAATCATGTTTCTATCCCTTTGGTGTTCCAAATCTCTCAGGTAGGAGACTTGCTTCTGATTCTTACCAGACTTATCCACTTGCTTCTGATTCTCTTTAGAATGTAGACTAATAGTACTTCTAATACATCTCCCTCTTTAGGTGCCTTTGTTTTTCCCCTCTGGTGTTGGGAGGGCTTGTGCTTGGGGATTCAAGTTCCTTTGGCTAGCTTGCTCATAGCTTGCTCTATATTTTGAGTCTGCAGCCTGGCTTTTGGTGGCTAAAAAGCCACAAAAACTGGGACCTAGTACCAAGCAATAAGGGGCTGATTGTTTAAAAAAAGAGAGAGAGTGAAGTTGGGGACAGTTGGGAACAAAGTGTGGACCAATTTTCTTTGGAATTCCTTATAGTAACTTGAATAGGGCCATCAAATAGTATATAAATGAACTAGTAGACTATAAGTTTGGTTATAATGTTAAAATACATACATCTCAACTTTATAGAAATAGCATGCAGAAAGTGATAACAGGGCCTGTATGGAGTTATTTTTACCAAGTACATAGCTTCAGTTTTCCAAGATGAAAAATTTCTGGAGATCTGTTGTACAACAATATGAATAGACTCAAAACTATTATACATTTAAAAATGGTTAAGGTGGTAAAAAGAAAGAAAATGCAACATCTGACACTGAGATAACATGAAGAATTTATTTTGTAGGAAACCTCTACACAATGCCACAGATAGACAGCTCTAGTATGTCTATAGTACCATATACAAAAGGACCACTGTTCACAATGACAACACTAAAGCACTGAAAGATAATACAGTATTTTCAGAATGGTGTTGGTTCCCCCCCTGGCCCCCAGTACTAGGGTTTGAACTCAGGGCTTCATGTTTACATGACTTGTTTGGCTTGGAGCTCTACCACTTGAGCCACACCTCTAGCCCTACCTTTTGCTGGTTATTTTTGGAGTCTCATGGACTTTTCTTCCTGGGCTTGCTTTGAATCATGATCCTCCAAATCTTGGTTTTCTGAGTAACTAGGATCAAATGTGAACCAGGCTTACAATGACTGGCTGTTTTAAGGTACTCACATGGGTCAAAATTTTAACATTCTGACAGGTGGTAAGCCAGATAACCAGAGCACCTAGTCATATAACTTTTGGTGATTCATATCTTGGTGATAACCAAGTCTTTTGGTGACATATAAACTTACTATGTTCATCTGGCATATATCCAACACAAATAATTCCAATTTCTTGGTTAAGTGACATATTGCTTGACTTCATTAAATATAGTTAGACTTGCTTACTATACAAACAAATATACAACTAATCTAGTGTATAAAAAGTGCTGTACTTTTACAGAAATATTAATACCCTGACAAAGGGGTTTATACATGAATTTGGACTAATTATATCTATTTTTACTTATACCTAAAATTTACTCTCTACATTATGATCAAGCAATTTTGTGATTTTTATAAGAAAGCTACTGCTTTCAAATTCTTTTGTTTCCTCTTCACTTCTTAAAATCAGTACGTGCTTTAATATTTTTTTGGGGGGGACTTGTGCCTGTTCTTTTGCCTGAAAACAAATATGGGACTTATGTTAAATTAGTTCCACAAAAAGTATTAAAGACAGTTTCTCTAAAATGTACAGACTGTGTCAGTCCAATTCTCTTGTTTATATAATAACCTGGTAATACTGGGGAATATCTTCTAATTTTGAAATAGAATAACTTAAATATTAACACGTACCACTGTTACCAACATAATTGACCTTAGAAGCGTACAGATGGGAATATTCAATACAAAAAGCACAAAATCTACTAACTTTAAATGCTATCTGTCAAAGCCTACAACTCGTTTCCTTATGACCTATTCAAACAGCAATGTTTAAGCTACTCTAACATTTACACTCTAACTAGAAATTTATACGAAACACAATTTTATGTTCAAATATGGAAATAAGTAACATAATTCCAAAACCCAAAAGTATCCCAGCATTCTGTAAAAAGAAATAACCCCAACGGCTACATCCATGGTCACTAGCATCATTGTGCAGCATCTCAGGTACCTTAAAGAAAAAAAATACATTTACATTTAAGTTCCCAGAATTACACACAGAGTTTTGAAAGACAGCACATCAGCTTTATTTGTAGCTATACTGTAGATCAATTCCTTAGAACTGATATATACACAACAGACTCTAATCATGTTGTACAGTATTTCTTAGTTATAATAACCTATTAGACCAGTCTGCTCTATTATAAAATGGAAATTTATACTGATTTCCCTGCGTTAGTTACTGCCTGTATATCTGAACTAAATATATGACCCTTACCTAGTTCCGAGATATGATATTTTAATATTATAGTAGTAGTTCACACTCAAAATATTACTTTAGTAATAAGACTGGCTGGTCCACATGGAATAAAATTCTTTTGTCGCTAAGCATTGGTAACTCACGCCTGTAATCCTAGCTACTCAGGAGCTTGAGATCTGAGGATCATGTTTCAAAGCCTTCTGGGGCAGGAAAGTCTATGAGACTATGAGCTTCAATGAACCACCAGAAAACCAAAGTAGTGCTGTGGCTCAAAGTAGTAGCACATTACCATTGAGCAGAAAAGCTCAGGAATAGCAGTTCAGGCCCTGTGTTCAAGTCCCACTACTGATAAAACAAGAAAAATCCCAAACCTCCTTTTTCAATGAAAACTTTTTTGTGTGTGCCAGTCCTCGGGCTTGAACTCAGGGCTTAGGTACTGTCCTTGTGCTTTTTTGCTCTACCACTTGAGCCAGAGCTCCACTTCTGGCTTTTTGGTGAGTAACTGGTGCTAAGACTCTCACAGATTTTTCTGCCTGGGTTAGCTTCTAACTGTGATCCTCAGATTTCAGCCTCCCAAGTAGCTAGAATTACAGGAATGTTACCTAACTTAATAAGAATTTTGTGTGTGTGCACTATTGCTGGGGCTTGAACTCATGGCCTTGCACTCTCAGTTGGCTTTTTCACTCAAGGCTGGTACTCTATTACTTAAACCATACTTCCACTTCTATTTTAAGCACTGTAAGGTGTACACAGCATGCCAACAATATGTGGTTTGTGTTAGACTTTCTACAAATCTATAGATCATTCAGGGCCTCATCAAGATTCTCCTCTAAAAACTGTATGTGACAAAGAGACAGGTACTTGAGTATCCTCATATATATTAGGTAGAATGCAAGTATGTATGGGATCAACAATTACAAAAATAAATGTAGAGACTTGCATTCTTATATAACCCCTATATTTTTTTGTTGATCATGGGGCTTGAACTCTGGGCCTGGGCGCTGTTCCTCAGCTCTTCAGCTTAAGGTAAGCACTCTACCATTTGAGCAACAGTGCCACTTACAGTTTTCTAGTGGTTTACTGGAGATAAGAGTTTCACAGACTTTCCTCCTTGGGCTGGCTTTGAACTGTGATCTCAGATCTTAGCCTTCTGATCTGGGAGGATTACAGGCATGAGCCATAGGTACCCAGCCTACTACCTCTCTTGATTTAGAATAATTTTTCATTCTTGTTGCATTTAATCTAAAATCTTTTATTTTCTTTTATGTGCTAGTCCTGAGGCTTAAACTCAGGGTTTGGGCACATTCCCTGAGCTTTTTTTGCTCAAAGCTAACACTCAAATACTTGAGCTACAGCTCTATTTCTGGCTTTTTGATGTTTAACTGGAGATGTCTCATGGAATCTGCAGCCTGAGCTGGCTTCAAACTGTGATGCTCAGATCTCAGCCTCCTAAGTAACCAGGATTATAGGTATGAGCCACTGGAGCTCAGCGTCTACAATCTTTTTTAAAAAAAATTATTTTTTTTCTTATAGTCAGTCAGTTTCAACCAACTTCTTAAAAACTTACCATATCAACCAGAGCGACATACATGAATAAGCCAGCAGTAAGTGCAAATATCCACATAGAAACATTTTCAGCATAATGGCCAATGAAAATTCCTGTTGCCATTCCCAGATATGCCAGCATGGCTGACAAAGCGTTATAAAGCACAGCCTGCTTAACGGTCATGCCTGCCTTCAGCAAAACAGCAAAATCACCTTTAATGGAAAACAAAAGAAGATAATAAAATACTTGAAAATCATTCTAAAGACACATGACCAAGAAACTTCTCAATTCAAGAAAATTCTGATTGATTTGAGACAAGAAATAAAAAAAAGGAGCTAGTGGAATATCTGAACAGTAAAGTGTCTGCCCTAACAAATGCAAGGGCTTAAGCTCAAACCTCAGTAGCACCAAAAGATAAAGACAACTTTGAGAGAGAGAGAAAAAAGAAATGCTTAGAGTAGAGGAGAATTTATCAGTATATATCATCTCAACAGCATTATAAGCTTAAAAAATCATTTAGCCAATATTCTTGGCCATTGTTTGAAAAATAAATCTATTGCACTGTCTTCAAAGAATCACCCACAAAAGGGGAAGGTGAAGAACATACAGCAATGATCAGCAAATGAAAAGATAATATATGGGAAGAACTGGATGTAGCCCAAGTGGTAGAACCCCAGGTGTAAGTGAAAAAGCTAAGCAAGAGTATAAGGCATGCAGGGGCTGGGAAGGTGGCTCAGTGGAAGAGTGCTTGCCCTGCATGTATGAGGCCCTGGGTTCCATTCCTCAGAACCACATAAGCAGAAAAGGCCAGAAGTGGCACTATTGCTCAAGTGGTAGAATGTTAACCTTGAGCTGAAGAGCTGAGGGACAGTGCCCAGGCCCACTGTTCAGGCCCCACAACTGACCAAAAAAAAAAAAAAAAAAGAGTATAAGGCATGCATACATGCATGTGCATACACACACACACAAAATAAATTTTAAAAATACGTATCTGGCCAGGCACTGGTGGTTCATGCCTGTAATCCTAGCTACTTAGGAGGCTGAGATCTGAGGATTGCAGTTCAAATCCAGCCCGGGCAGGAAACTCCATAAGACTCTTATCTCCAATTAACCATCAAAAACCAGAAGTGGCACTGTGTCTCAAGTGGTAGAGCACATGCATTGAGCTGAAGAGCTCAGGGACAGCACGCAGGCCCAGAGTTTAAGCCCCACAACCAACCAAAAGAAAACATATCTGAATGTGGAAATGGGGCATAAAAGACTTAGAATGAGAAGCATAAGTGAGAAGTTGAGGCTCATGCAAGCACTGGGTAGCAGAAAGGAGGACTTCCAAATAGCTGAATGCATAGTAAGGAACAAAAGTAAAATGGTATTAGGGAAATGGTGTCTGAGAATATGTAGCCATCATTAGGAAACAATGGGAAGAAAAACAAAGACATGGAGTGGGATCTAAAATGAGGACGTTTTGGGTCTGGGAATGTAGCTTAGTGGTACAGTGCTTGCCTAGCATGCATGAAGCCCTGGGTTCAATTCCTCAGTACCACATAAACAGAAAAATCCAGAAGTGGTGCTGTGATTCAAGTGGTAGAGTGCTAGCTTTGAGCAAAAGAAAAAAAAAAGTAAAGGACAGTGCCCAGGCCCTAAGTTCAAGCTCCAGGATTGGCAAAACAAATAAACAAATAAATAAATAAAATGAGCAAGTTTCAACTTCTAATAGCAAAGAATAGTCAAGATACAATTCTTCAATTCTCTTTTTCTTCTGCTTCCAATAAGGTTCTCTTTTCCAACTCCCCACTGTTAATTGAAGATGATTTTTTTGTGTGCTGTTGTCTTATTTCCAGTGTGTTAATGAAGACAATTACTGATGTTACCAGTGTGCCTCCACTAAAAGATACTTGGTAGGGGAAAAAAGAGGGACTCAGGTACTTTTTTGGCAAGCCCATATAGTCAAAAATGTGTATGTGGGGTGAGACTCTGGCTGGAAACAAACTTGTATCCAGTAAGAAAACAAAGTCATTTTGATATGCTTCATTATATATGGTTCAATGCACTATTGGGCTATTGTAATCTGCTGTTAAGAATGCCATACACATATTCTAGTTATTACAAATGAGGGAAACCATGCAATCTACTTTTCTTTGGGCCTGGCTTACCTTGAGTAATATAATTTTTTCCAGGTTTTTCCATTTACTTACAAATGGAGCAATGTCATTCTTTTGGATAGAAGCACAGAACTCCAGTTTGTATACATACCACATGTTTTTTTGATCCATTCATCTACTGAGGGGCATCTAGGTTGGTTCCATATCTTAGCTATGGTAAATAATGCTGCAATGAACATGGTTGTGATGGTGGCTTTATAGTGTGGCCTGGTTTGTGTTCTGTTTGATAAATGCCCAGGAGTGGGATTACTGGATCATAGGGGAGCTCTATGTTTAGTCTTTGAGGACCCTCCTTACTGCTTTCCAAAGTGGCTGAACAAGTTTACACTTTCACCAAGAGTGTAGTAGCCTTCCCTTTTGGCCACATTCCTGCCAGCATCTGTTGTTATTAGATTTCTTGATAATGGCCATTCTAACTGGGGTAAGATGGAATCTCAATGCTTTGCATGATTTGCATGCAATTATTTCTATTTTTTTGTTTTAGTTTTCTGCACCATTTGTCTTGTATATAAGTTTTTCTGATTCATGGAAGGAAAAGGGAATCTCAGAAACAGCAGGACAAAGGAAAGAACTAATCCAACAATGATACTCACTAGACACTACGTTGGAAATGAACTATACAACTGGGTATAGGTGGGTAGGGGAGTAGGGAGGGATAAGTGGGAGAAAATGAGGGAGGGGATAACAGTATTTAAAAAGAAATATACTCACTACTTTACTTATTAACTGTAATTCCCACTCACCACCTTTACAATAAAGACTTAAAAAAAGAAAAACTCAGCAAGGTTAGCAGAATATGTGAAGGCCTTGGAGTTAAGAAGCTAAGGCCAGCAACTCTAGGACATTTCATTCACATGGAAAAATCACTTATCTAGTTCTCTTACCTAACTCATGAGGTAACTCATGACAGAACACGGCCACTGAAGTACTTAGCCCACTTGATAAACCTTCAGTAAAAGCAGCACCTGTGTAAAGGTCAATCAGAAGGGGGTTATTATTAGATGTGTTTTAAAATCTTGATATACAAAATGAAGTAAACAATTAATTGTATTTTGGTTGTGCATAAATACAACCTTTCCAACCCAAACCTTAACTTCTCCATAGAAATATTCTATTCTATTCAGTCTAAATAGCTCAGAGAAGCACAGGAGTTACAAGATATAAGTGAAGACTGAAGTATGCCTTAGAATGAGTACATGATCTTCTACAAACCTGAAAAGTAACTATTACTTATTCAAGAATCTAAACTGACCATAAAGTTTGGAGAAAAATAATCTTCTGCAATTAAGAGTATGAATGTTTTACTTTTTTCAGAGTTCAGTATGTAATTAGACTTGACTTCAGTCGTTTTTAAACTATTTCTTTTCTTCAATTGTCTTAGAAACAAATAGTACATCTTGTTGCAAAAAAATGAGTACATTATACAATCATCAACCAAGATTATTCTTTTGGACATTCCTTCTTTGTCTGCTTATGCTGTATAGAAAATAGTGAAGGAGGCAGAAAGTAGACTGCCTGAGAACCAATTCCTGACTAAAAAGAACAGCACTACATCCTTGGGCAATTGTGTCATTTTTCTAGGTCCCACCTGCTCAACTTGTATGTACTTCCATGGTTCCATCCAGAATGAAATCACATGGTTTTAGGTATTCTATTATCTCTCAATTATGGTGTAATCATTTAATGCAAAAATTCTGTAATTCTCTGGCTAGAGACTGGTAACTAGACTGATCAAAGTATATGAAGAATCCTTTAAGGATAACAGAAAAGATGATGCTAAAGATTTTACCTTAACAAGCACAGTTTCTATTACTAAAAAGGAAATATCAATGTACAGGGAAAAACCTTGCACATATTCTATACTTTAAAGCACAGTCTCCCAATCTTTTCTTTTTTGCCAGTCCTGGGGCATGAACTCAAGGCCTGGGCACTGTCCCTAAGCTTCTCCTGCTCAAGGTTAGCACTATACCACTTGAGCCACAGTGCCACTTCTGGACTTTTCTGTTTCTGTGGTACTGAAGAATCAAACCCAGGGCTTCATGCTAGGCAAGCACTCCACCACTAAGCCACATTCCCAGCCTGAAGAATGACTTTTGATTGTTACAATGAAGGCTAGGCAAAGTCCCTAGCACTTAATATATGGAACATTTACTGAGTACTTTATTGTCTAAGTAGCCAAAAATAACATTTTGAGAATTTTGGAAGTCACTCATATCTAACTTATCTAAACTAACTTATGCTTTGATAAACTGGATTAGGTATTTAAATGACAATTCTGAGTGAACTAGCAAGGAACAAATATGTAATACCAATTGCAAGGCCATCACTGAAGTTGTGTAGGCCATCGCCCATTATCACCATCCAGGCTAAAGTGGCAATGCCAGCATCTTTTAACTCCTCCCGAGAATAGCGCTGACTGTGACTGTGGGGGTGGTGGTTTTGGTGGTGATGGTGATGGAGAATATGATGGTAATCATGATGGTGGTGAATGAGGTCATCTGACTGGCCCAGTGTATCATGGAAATGTGAATGGCATTTGTTCTTGCACCCTCTGGGTACATATTCATTGTAGACTTCTTGAGGGTGAGCATGAGCTATCATGACCTCTTCTTCTTCCAACATTGCTGGCTGTTGAGAATCAAAGTGGGAGGGCTCTTGTGAGTCTGCTCGTAAATAGCTTTCAGGTCCTAGGAATAAATGTAAGAGATATTGGGACAAAAATCAGAATACTTCTGTCAGTGTGCTTGGACAAATTTTGAATATCCCCACTAACATTTAAAATCAACAAATGATTTTAAAGCACAAAAACTCTTGCATCTGGAAAACGAAATCTTAAGAGCTAAAGAGAAATATCAATAGAGTTGAATGAATTTTAAAAAACAAATGATCTCACATATTAACAATCCATTTTGAGCTGGCATGTAGTACTTATAATCCCAGTACTCTGGAGGGTGAGACAGGGAGATGGCTTGAATCAGGAGTTCAAGAGTAGCTTGGGCAACATAAAGATATTAAGAGCCTATCTTTTTTTTGTTGGTCATGCAGCCTGAACTCTGGGCCTGGGTGCTGTCCCTCAGCTCTTCAGCTCAAGGCTAGCACTCTACCACTTGAGCCACAGCGCCATCTCTGGCTTTTTCTGCTTATGTGGTACTGAGGAATGGAACCCAGGGCCTCATGCATGCAAGGCAAGCACTCTACCACTGAGCCACCTTCCCTATCTTATAAAAAAAAGAATATATTTTAAACATTAAACTTCAGAAACTACCCTTACATTCTCCCTTAATTTCTTTTCCCTCTCTGTATGTTGAAAGATGAGTTCTTCTGATCATAAAAGAATCACGTTCTTGCTGGGCATTGGTGGCTCACACCTGTAATCATAGCTACTCAAGAGGTTGAGATCTGAGGATCACGGTTTAAAGCCAGCCTGAGCAGGAAAGTCCATCAAACTCATCTCCAATAAACCCCAGAAAACTGGAAGTGGTGCTATGGCTCAAGTGGTAGAGCACTAGCCTTGAGCTGAAGAGCTGAGGGACAGTGCTCAGGACCAGAGGTTAAGCCCTATGACTGACGGAAAAAAAAGAATCACATTCTTATTTTTGAAAAAATGTTATGTTAGGTATTTAAAATACTTATTTTTTAAAAATACTGAGAATTAGAAATGAACAAATAATCCTGTCATCTATTTTCTTCTTTTTTAGAAGGGACAAATTTAAGAGATAGACTATTCTAACTAATTTTTTTTTGGGTCCGGTCGTGGGGCCTGAACTCTAGGCCTGGGCACTATCCCTCAGCTCTTCAGCTCAAGGCTAGTGCTCTACCACCTGAGCCACAGCGCCACTTCCGGCTTTTTTTCTTTTTGCTTATGTGGTGCTGAGGAATCGAACCCAGGGCCTCAGGCATGCAAGGCAAACACTCTACCACTGAGCCACCTTCCCAGCCCCTCTAACTAATTCCTTTATCATCATGAAGAATTTATTTTCTATTTGGGCAAAGAAAAATAAACTTTAATGATATTTTTTGTCTTGTACATTGTTATCAATTTTCTTGGTAGCAACTTTGAGTCTCTTGTCCAATTCTTTATTTTTTTATGGAGCTGTGTTTTGAACTCAGATACCCCATAAACACTTTACCCTCACTTGAGCCATGTACTCAGCCCTTTTTCCTTTAATTATTTTTCAGCTAAGATTATAAGGTGATACTGGAGAACAAGTGTAATCACACAGCTTTTCTAATACAGCATTAAATTTTAAACGGTCTTCAGAAGTTTATATTTACAATGTTCTAGAGGCATTAAAGTTATAGGAATCCATAATAGAAGATATATAAGAATAGGATGATAGGCACTATTTTAGGGGGTGATGGAGTGTTTTGTATCTTGATTGGGGTGGTAAAAGGATACATTTGTGAATGTATCCTTTTTTTTCCCTTGAATTTTGCCCTTCTAAAAAGGAAACACTATACTTAACATATTTAAAAAAATGGGTAGAAAACAGAAATATAATTTACTTTCATAGTCAGCCATGATTTCACAGGAGCTCAAAGTAGCTCTGAGCTATGTATGACTTCAGCTACTTGTGGAGGCTAAGATTGGTTGGTTGTGGTTTGAGATTGGCCTGAGTAAAAAGTTCATGAGATTTCTATCTCAACTAAGGAAAAGCTGGGTGTGGTATTGGATGCTTGTCATCCCAGTAGCAAGTAAGTAAGATTGTGAGTAAGTAGCAAGTGTAAATAAGATTGTGGACCAAGCCAGCTCAGGCAAAAAGTGAGTCCTTATTAGAAAAGTAATTTAAACAAAAAGGGCTGGTGGAGTAGCTCAAGTGGTAGTTGGCCTGGCAATGCAAGACCTTGAGTTTAAACCCCAGTACTTCAAAAATAGAAGAAAGAAAGAAAAGAAAAAAAACCCCATCTCTTTATGAACTAACTTGAAATTCACATGTCTATATGTAGTAATAATACTTCCCACTTCCCACAGACTGAGGTCTTATTCAAGATTTCCTTGGAAGCCAATCAGAAGTTATGTATCACTCCCCAGGGGCATACATGTCCTAAAGTTAGTTACATAATGTGAGGGATGTGAGCAATGTGTCTCTGGTTTCACTGAATATTGCAGCTTGAAACCAATTCTAGGGATTCTAGTGTTCCAAAGAAGAGTCTTTGGTTGGGGGAAGAGCCCTAATTCTTGAGTATTTTCTTTATGCAACTCAGTTCTGGTTATCTCAGGGTCAAATTTCAATCTTAATGTTGCAAAATGTCACTAGGCATCCACACTGAGCCCTCCAGCAGTCATTTCTCTGCAGAAACGTCTCATGATTGCAGAGCAAAGGAGGTACAGCAACCCATTTCTACATGAGTTTTATTTCCCAATAACAAACACAATTTCTGTTAGTCTCATACTACCCAAGACATCGTAGGGAGAATATTCTCCCCAGAGCCATGTAAATGTACTTACATTCTTCTTACATATATGCAGGATCCACTGTACCTGTACCCTGTTCCATAGGCTTCCTCATTTCCAACTCCCCCTCACCTTCATGGCAGGGTCTATAGAGCCCTCTCCACTATACACCATGCTCATTTCCTAGACACAAATCACTTCATGGATCCCAAGTCCTCAGGGAAAATGCAGTTAGAGTAAGCACATGCTCAAAGACCTGAATCTTGTTCCTCACATGGCTCCCTATAAGTAGCGTGGATCCACTAAGTTTGATGTCATAGAGACATCTGGGAGTTTTGATCTAGTTTTCAGTAAGTATGAGACACTTTTAAAAAGCAAAACAAAAGGACATGGCTCGGTCTCTTCCAAATGCTTAATCCTGTTACAAATACTAGACCATCAACTCCTTCCAGCATTCAGAATCTCTCAAGACACTCACGATCATCTGTGTCTACTTTTTCTTCATTTGTTGAAAGTTGAGATTCATATTTAGACAACTGCTTCTTTATCTCCACATCATCATCACTTTCAGGTTTTTTTTGGTTCTAAAACAGAAAGGGAAGTGAAATAGTTGATTTGTTCAAGTGGCCAGGCTTTAAACAAATAAAGACAGAACCAGACAACAGAATTAATGGATTGCTATTGGAAGGCCAGGGTTTATACTTAATTGCACAATACCCATTATGTATAGTAACTGCCAGGGAGGTAAAGAATGCTTGAGATATGTAAGAAAATCACATTCATTTTCTTGAAAGCTCCCTATACTATTTACTCCAAGTGTGGTATTATGTAAGGAATGTGTCAGAAATGTACACTCAGGCCACTCAGACCAGATAAATAAGAATGTAAATTTTAATTAGTTCCTTGAGTGATTGAACTACACATTAAAATTAGGGCCTCACAAATTCTTAAGCATATGCTCTATGACTGAACTATTTCAGCCAGCAGGAACTTGTGCTTGCTAGGCAGGTATTCTTCCACTTAGCCATACCCCCAGTTCTTTAAGCTTTAGTTATTTTTTTCAGGTAGAATCTTGTTTTTGCTTAGGGCAGGCCTGGGCTGTGATCTTTCTATCTGCAGTCTCCCATGTACCATGCCATGGGGTCTTACCTTACTTTTTGCATGGGTGGCCTAAGACACAGTCCTTCCCAATCTCTACCTCCTGGGCAGCTGGGATCATAGGCATCAGCAACTATGCCTAATCTTTTTTATTTTTTGTTTTGCCAGTCCTGGAGCTTGAACTCAGGGCCTGAGCACTGTCCCTGAGCTTCTTTGTGCTCAAGGCTAGTATTCTATTACTTGACCCACAGCACTACTTCTGGCTTTTTCTGAGTAGTTTATTGGAGATGAGAGTCTCACAGGCTTTCCTGCTTAGGCTGGCTTTGAACTGTGATCTTCAGATCTCAACCTCCTGAGTAGCTAGGATTATAGGCGTTGAGCACTGGTGCCAAGCCTGTGCCTGATCTTTCGGCCTAATCTTTATATTTTCTTCAACTATAGTGCCTTCATCAGAGGAAATACTTAAATACTTCTGAAAATAAGTGAATTAAAAAGTTTTTTCTTTTCCTTCCCCTTCCCCTCCCCCGCCCCCCACTTCTTATTTCTTCTATCTCCTATTCCCACTTTTCTTTCCCCATCTTTCCTTCTGCTGGGAATCACATCGAAGGCCTTGTGCAGGCTTAATGCTCCACTATGGAGCTACAACCCTATAACCTCAGCCCTAATATTCTTTTTTTTTTTTTTGCCAGTCCTGGGGCTTGAACTCAGGTCCTGGACACTGTCCCTTAGCTTCTTTTGCTCAAGGCTAGCACTCTACTACCTGAGCCATAGTGCCACTTCTGGCTTTTTCTATGTACATGGTACTGAGGATCAAACCTAGGGCTTTATGCATACTAGGCAAGTATTCTACCACTAAGCCACATTCCTAGCCCCCTAATATTCTTTCTAATTGACAAGTAGTAACTGCATGTGTTTTCAGAGTGAATTTAGAGTGCCTTCAGTAGTATCTATTACTGCTTTATTTTCCATTGGGCAATAACTCCAGAACTTATGCCGTAAACAATTCTTTTTGCATTACAGATCTCAATATCCTCCATGCTAGTAGTATAATGTAAAACAAGAGAAATTCAGTCTCATAAGCCCCTATTATCCACAGAAAGGATTATATAATGATTATATAACTGTTTGCATGCAATCTTCAATGTATTTCACAAAAGAAAAAAATCAGTGTGCTATTAAGAGTGTATATTAACGAGGCCTAATATTTCAGTACAGGATCTAGGGAAACTGTGTGACAGCTATATCAAGACTTAAAGGTAAATAACAGTTTGATGGGGAAGGGTAAAGGAAAGACTATGCTATGAGTAAAGTGAGAGAGGACCTAAAGTAGGAAGAGGCTTGAGCAAGAAGGGCCTCGAGCAGCAAGGAGTCTGAAGCAAGAAAGGCCTCCAGCGGTAAGGGCTCTGAAGCAAGAAGGGCGCTGAACAGCAAGGCATCTGAAGAAAGGCCTGGGGCAGTAAGTGCTCTGAAGCAAGAAGGGGCCTGAGCAAGAATGGACCTGAGCTTCAAGCAGCAAGACACTCAAAACAAGGGCTCTGAAGCAAGAAGGGCCCTGAGCATTAAGGGTCTCTGAAGCAGGCAGGGCCCAGCACTGAGACAGAACTAAAAGAAATTCAAGGTGGCCTCATAGAGCCCTCTATAAAAGATGGTTCAAAATGAGGCTGGGGTAGTTAAGGAGTCTAGATAATGCAGACCATGTTAGAAGTAATGTAATATGTCCACAAAGCAACTGGAGGTCACTGAAGGATGTTAAGTAGGCAGACTCATAGGATTTCATCTTTTTGCTTAAACAAATAGTGGAAATGAAATAGGAAAGGAGGAAATAAAAATAAAGTGGACAGGTTAGTTAGAAGGCAACTGCTAAGTGAGGTGGGAGATAACCAAGCCTAGTCTAGAATGACAGGAAGAAAGAAAAGTGGAGGGAAGTTGAGAACATTGGCTTAAGAAAATGTGGCTAGAAATGGGGAAGAGGGAATGCCATAAATACCTCTATGATTCCTAGCTCACTAGCACTGGTAAAAAGTTCAACTATTGTAAGGGTCTAACTTCATGTCTAGTATTGTTATGTAACAATAATCAGAATGCAGAGATTTCACACTGAAGAATAGAGCTGTGGACTAATGAGCTACTGGAAATCTCCCAGAGTGTAGTTTAAATTTTTTAAGGAAAAATGTTAAATCAAAAGCTTTGTGATGGGCTCAAAGCACTCTGAACACTCAGAAACAAAATAACTCCACCCCCCCCCCCTTTTTGTGTGTGCTGATACTAGGGCTTGAAGAGTCTGGGCACTCTCCTTAGCTTAGCTTTTCTGCTCAAGGCTAGAACTGTACCACTTGAGCCACAGCTTAACTTTCTGCTTTTTGGTGGTCAACTGAAGATAATGAGCCTCACAAAACTCCCAGCCTGGGCTGGCTTCAAATTGTGATCCTCAGATCTCAGACTCCTGGGGAAACTAGGATTACAGGCATGAGCTACTAATGCCTGGCTTTTTTTTTTCCTCTTTTTTTTTTTTTTTTAAGAGAACCAAATAAGTTAGAAAATTACTAAGGAAATAAGACTAATGTTTGGATGCCCTTCATAAAAAGCAAACAACATTTTCTACAAAAGGAATAAAACATGAAGGTGGCTTTGGGAGGGATGGGGGAGACTGATGAAAAGGGTGATATTTATCAAGATGCATTGTATTTACAAATTGACATGTTGAATAGTAATGCCTTAAAGATAATTAAAAATCCAAAAGAAGGGCTGGGAAGGTGGCTTAGTGGTAGAGTGCTTGCCTTGCATGCATGAGGCCCTGGGTTCGATTCCTTAGCACCACATAAGCAAAAAGAAAAAAGCCGGAAGTGGCACTGTGGCACAAATGGTAGAGCGCTAGCCTTGAGCTGAAGAGCTGAAGGATAGAGCCCAGGCCCAGAGTTTAGGCCCCACGACCGGACCCAAAAAAAGTTTTTAAAAAATCCAAAAGAAAAGAGGGAAGACTGTCTAAAAAGTATTCTTACTTGGCTGCCTCATTTTCTTAAACATTCACTAAATATCAATAATCTCTTATGTATGAGACATTCCTTGTGGAACTAGAGATAGAGCAGTAAATATGACCCAGGGTTCTGACTCTTAAGAATTTACATTCTAGTAGCTACTATTTTAGAGCACAGATGATTAAACTTCTCTGAGTTACACCTCCATTATGTTATGCAAAATATAAATGATACGTAGGAATATATGGAACATACAGTATTGCCTTTTTGTTTTATTTTGTTATAGTGCTGGGGATTAATGGCTCATACCTGTAATCCTAGTTAGTATGGAGGCTGAGACCTGAGGATCACAGTTCGAAGCCTGATTCTTGAGCAGGAAAGTCCATGAGACTCTCACCTCCAATCAGCCACCAAAAGTAAAAACTACTAGAAGTTGAGCTGTGGCTCAAGAGGTAAGGCCCCAACCTTAAGTGAAACACATATACTGGCATAACATGGATTTCACAGCTAATTAATAACTATGGTTAGATAATACTGCTCTATATTATTATGAAGATGGTAATTTTTTTGACACAGTCTTATCATATAGGTCAGGCTAGAGTCTTACTATGTATGCCCAAGTTGGCCTCAAACTCTTGATCCTTCTTCATTTACCTCTTTAGTGCAGGGATGTACTATCATACCCAGCTTGCAGCAGAGACTTTAGTGAATATAACATACACAAAGGCAAATACTCGTAAGACAGATGCTGTCCTACTCACACACACACTTGCTTCCCACAGTGCTAAGAATCAACTGTGTTTAGTTTTCAACCCTCTTCATGCCAGTTATACTTGTTATTATAATTGCACAGTTTAATTACATGTTGCTCCAATTCTAAAATGAGGATGAGAATAGCTAGTTTTTTTTTGTGCTCAAGGGAAGTGCTCTAGCATTTGAGCCACAGCTCTACTTCTAGATTTTTAGTGATTAACTGAAGATAAGGGTTTCATGGACTTTCCTGTCCAGGCTGGCTTCAAACTACAAGCCTCAGATCTGACCTCTTGAGTAGCCAGTATTACAGACATGAGCCACCAGTATTCAACTAAGAACAGTCACTTAACTAGCAAAGTCGAGTGGCAAATTAATACTAACTAAAAAAAAAAAAATCAAATTGGGTAAAACTGTATAAAAATTTGAAAACTAATGTCTAAGTTTTTTTAGTCAGAATAATTCTACAAATCTGTAATGTTTTGTTCTATTTTAGAGAAACCAAGATTGCAAACTGTAGGTAAAGTATAGTTTGGCTATAAAAACAATAAAAATAGGGCTGGGAAGGTGGCTCAGGGGTAGAGCGCTAGCCTTGCATGCATGAGGCCCTGGGTTCGATTCCTCAGCATCACATAAACAAAAAGAAAAAAGCCGGAAGTGGCGCTGTGGCTCAAGTCGTAGAGCGCTAGCCTTGAGCTGAAGAGCTGAGGGACAGCACCCAGGCCCAGAGTTCAGGCCCCAAGACCGGACGCCCCCCAAAAAATAAAAAAGATATAAAATTCAAATTGAAAAGAAATTCTGAGCCAGGCGCGAGTGGCTCATGCTTATAATCCTAGCTGCTCAGAAGGCTGAGATTTGAGGATTGTGATTAGAGGCCAGCCTGGGTAGAAAAGTCTCCATGAGACTCTTCTCTCCCATTCAAAAATAGGAATTGGAGCTGTGGCCTGAGTAAAGCACTAGCCTTGAGCACAAAGAGGCTCAGGGACAGCGTCCTGAGTTCAAGCCTTATGACCAAAAAAAAAAAAAAAAAATCTGACCAACCTCCTATAAAATTCTCTAGATGTATATTCATCATTTTAAGAGTCTCTTCCAACAATCTTTTCACTAATTTACTGTATCACATCAGATGAAAAGAGACAGATACCTTGTAAGACTCAAAAGTATTTTTATTTTTTTCCCCAAATAAAAAGCCTACTACCTGTCTTCATACTACTGTATGGTCTAATTTGCAAATGTTGATCACATTATTTAATCAAAAGTACCAATAAATATTGGTATCTTCAATGCTCTATTTATGCTTTGTGTTTTGTCACAAGGTTTATATAGACATTCATCCTTGACTTTTAGTCTTCCATGAGTTTCAAGAAATAGGGAAGATAATTCCAGGGTTATCAAGATATAGAATTGTTCTACATAAATGTTTCTGGGATCAAAAAGTACGTTGAAAGTACAAAACCCTTTCCAACCAAAGATCATATATCCTATAAGCATGGTAGTGCCTGCCTATAATGCTTTGGGACATAGAGGCAGGACAACTGTGAGTTCAGAGCTAGCTTAGGCAAAGTCAACGAGACCCTATCTCAAAACACACAAATACGAAAAAATGAGGACCAGGAATGGTGGTGGTCCACGCCTGGAATACCAGCTACCTAAGAGACAAGGGGACAATTGCTGTCTGAGGCTGGCCCTCACAAAAACTTAAGACACTAGCAAAAAATCAGTAATTAAACAACAAAACAAAAAACCTGTGGTAATGATGGATCAGTGGTAGAGTGCTTCTTAGTAAGAACAAGCTCCTAAGTTTAAATTCCTGCATCACAAAATAAATAAAAGAAAAATTCATCCTGGACAAGCTATCCTAAAAACTCACGTAAGAGCGCTACACTGAAGAAATGTTTGATGCACGTAAGTACTCAATATTCTTTTTCTTACCTTTTTCTTCTTATCCTTAAACTGCTTGATCAGGGTGAGTACATGTTCAACAAGAAACATGAAATACAAGCCTCCTAGAGCTGTCAGACCTTTCCACGTGGAATCAAAATAGGTGCTTTCTTCTATGTTTTGAGAAGAGAGATGACTGAAAAGTGGACCTCTTTTCATTTCCATTGATGGTTCTTCATGGCTATGACTGTGGTGGTGACTTGCGTGAGACTGAAAAAATGGTATGTAATTTGTAAATTCATTAGTTTCACATGTCAGAAGAATTGGCCAACACAGTAGGGTCCATTTTGAAATTATTCAGAATTAGGCAATTAACAAGATACTTCAAAATTGAAAAGGCATTAAATTTAAAATATGAGGGGCAGTTAGCTCAGTTTGTTATATGCTGTAGCACGTAGTCGAATTTAAGTTTATTTTGTGTAAAGACAGATGCACTGCCTGCTAAGCTTCATAATAAATAGGTAGAGAGTATTCTCAAAGTATGACTAGTTACCATAGCCACAGTTAACAGGGAGCTACTACATAAACCTGCACATAATGGCTACAGTTACTGTTTCCAGATGAAAGGTTCAGATCAGTGCCATCAGACCACTGCCATCAGATCAGCAGCCTGTAAGAGTCCTAGTCTGTGTATAGTGATAGGCCTGGCAGGTCCCTGAGATTCAGATGTATGGACTGACACGCTGCCTGTAGCTGAGTGCAGTAGTAACTATTTTTTTTTTTTTTGTCGGTCGTGGGGCTTGAACTCTGGGCCTGGG